GGGGCGGGGCGCGTGTCGCGACATGGGCCACAAAGTAAAGCAGGATCAGCGGGTCTTAAGCAGCGAGGGGTAAGGGATTCTTAGTGAAATTATTCACTTTGACTCAGTCTGAACATGAGTGAATGAATAGACAGGGTACCTAGTGACAAGTTTTATATCTAAATGAATGGAAGTTAAATCTACCTGGTGGTGTTTGTTTTAATACATGAGGGCTTCCTCGTGCCACTGAGTCAGTTCTTTGGCTGTGGGAGACGAGTTCTGCTATTGAAAGTCGATCAGTTTGTGTTCAGCCTGAAACATTTCAGAAACTGAGGTAGTCTGTGTTCCCAAATTGTCTTAATGCCCTTGAGATAATGGCCCGAGGAAAGAGTAGAACGAGTGCTGTTCGGTAAAATTTGAACATGAAGGTAATAATGAAGCAGTAAAAAAAAAACGTGCTTTTACAGAATGAGCTCTCTTCCCCCAGTGGCTGCTGGGACGTTCTGGGAAGCGGTGCTTTGTTGTTAATTGCATCCGTGATTGAATGTGCTGTTCATCCCTGCTGCAGTGTGATTACATCATGCCTGCCCTTTGTCGTGTTCAAACATCTGAGGCTCGGGGCCTTTTATTTATTTCATGTGTGCTCTAAGCCCCAACCCCTGCAAATACCATATATTGAACCTTGTACACATGAGAAGAGCATGGTGGCCCCCGAGACCTGGGCCTGTGCTCTCTGCCCCAGTCTGCAGGCAGGCATCTCTCCTCAGATCCTCAGACCGGCTAGGGAGGGCTGGACCGAGACCCTGTTATCAGCCCCTGTTCATCAGGGCAAGATGCTTATCAAATCCTTACTATGCGGGAATGCTGTGAGGGGTTCAAAGATCAGCCTCTGCCTCTAGACCTGTCTCCAGAGCGGCCCCGTTCCTAGGACGGCTGCATCTGCACTAAATGTGACAGTGTTTTTCCTGTCTCTCCCTTCCAGCTCCCCAGAGCTGGTGCCAGAACTGTAAGAACCTTTTGAGTTCTGCAAAAGAGTAAATATTCAGTACTTTGTCAGCCAGTTGTCTAAAACTTGCCCTGACATTGGACGCTTTCAGCCACTAGATTCCTTCATTATTTTTTTTTTTTTTAGTATTTTATTTATTTGACAGAGAGAGACAGCAAGAGAGGGAACACAAGCAGGGGGAGTAGGAGAGGGAGAAGCAGGCTTCCCGTGGAGCAGGGAGCCCTATGCGGGGCTCGATCCCAGGACCCTGGGATCATGACCTGAGCTGAAGGCAGATGCTTAACGACTGAGCCACCCAGGCGCCCCAGATTCCTTCATTATTCAAACAGTAGTCCAGGGGACTTTTTTTTTTTTTTTTTTTTTATTAATTTGTATAGATGCACCTCTTCTTCCTCCCTGCCTAAGCTGCCCACATATCCCAGTGTGCCCAGTTCAGTCCTGGTTTATACCTTGTTGCATCTCATTTTAATAGCTAATAATAGCTCATTTCACTCTGAAAATATGCTGGTTTGGCCAAAAGCCCGAATGGGCAGCCTCTTTATTTTTCTTTAATTCTCCTTTATTTGCACAAGGTCTCAAATCGGTCCATTTTGTGTTCCAAATCGTTAAGTGCACCACTGAACATAGAGGAGTGTCTTTTTTTCTCTGTGTCCTACTCACTGTTGAGAAGGGAAGTGAGGCCGCTATTCTTAAACCCTGTCTCCGGAGCTACCCAGGGGGCTGTCACAGGAATGTTTTCGTTCTTAGCCTTACAGAATACTTCCCTCAAAGAAGCGGATATTGGCATTTTTTTTTTTTTTTACTATAGTTCCTTTTGTTTATACACTAAGGCCAGTATAAATCTTGGAATTTCCATGAAAGAAATGGCATTAAATAAACAAATTGAGGAGTTAAATTCTCACCAGTGAAGCAAACCAGTAAAGCCCTGTACTGCTGGTTTAGTGGGGGCGTGCCAATTTGATCTTTATTCTTTCTGTCACTAATTTTCAGTTTTTGGTTTTTTTTTTTTTTTTTTGAAATGTAAAACAGACTTTTTATTAAACATAGAAAACATATTTTTCAAGTACAGGAAGTTGACAGCACTTAATAAATACAAAACTTAATGTTTCAAGTTTTTCTTAATTTTTCCTTATTTCTTAATTCAAGTTAGTTAACATATAGCGTAATACTAGTTTCAGGAGTAGAATTTAGTGATTCATCACTTACATATAACACCCAGTGTTGATCACAACAAGTGCCCTCCTTAATACCCATCCCCCATCTGGCCACCCCTCACCCACCTCCCCACCAGCAACCTTCAGTTTGTTCTCTACAGTCAAGAGTGTTTTATGGTTTGCCTCCCTCTCTGTTTTTATCTTATTTTATTTTTCCTTCCCTTCCTCTATGTTCATCTGTTTGGTTTCTTAAATTCCACAAGAGTGAAATCATATGGTATTTGTCTTTCTCTGACTGACTTATTTCACTTGGCATAATATCCTCTAGTTCCATCCACGTTGTTGCAAATGGCAAGATTTCATTCTTTTTGATGGCTGAGTAAGACTCCATTTTATATATACATTTGTGTGTGTGTGTGTGTGTACACATACACACACACACACACCACATCTTTATCCATTCATCAGTCATTGGACATCTGGGCTCTCTCCATAATTTGGCTTATTGTAGATAACACTGCTATAAATAGGGTACGTGTGCCCCTTTGAATCAGTATTTTTGAATCCTTTGGGTAAATATCTAGTAGTGTATATGTTGGATCATAGGGTAGTTAGTTCTATTTTTAACTTTTTGAGGAACCTCCCTACTGTCACTGATTTTCTGAGCCTGGCTTTCTCTGGAAAAAATAGTTTAGAACAAAGTTATTTTTAAAAAGTTAGCAGCCCCACGCCATCTTTCTTTGCTGATATGTTACCATCTCCTTATACTCCTCTTGCATCTTTGCTGTTTTCCTTTTTGAACATATCAAGTTGAAAGCATTAGCAGAAACTACAAACTTGGATATGTGTTAATTGGTTGCTCTTATAACACATGGTCCATATGGCAAGTGTAGAGAAAAGGTGGGGGTGCTCATCACAGTCTCTGAGGAGCTGGCTGTGTTCCAGGGAGGAGAGCATTCCGTGACACCACGTGCCTTCAGGTTTAGGTGACCACCAGTATTTGAGCTCATTCATGTTTCTACTTGCCCTTTAAGGGACTCTGAAATTTTATCCTCCCTGGCCCAGGGATAGCCTTGTACACTTAACCCTGACTTCCAAATGAGATTGGATAATCTGTTTGGCTCTAAAATACATAAGACGATTATTGTTAGACATAAGTTCTAAGATGCTCCTTAAACCATGTTTCCTATTGCTTATAAGATAAACTTCCACACATGCAAAGAAATTTGTGTCTGCATCATTCTAGGTGTGTAGGAAAATCTCCTTCTCATGAAAATCACATAATTGTACACCAATAACAAGGGGACGATGTGCTTACTGCCTTGGTCTGAATGTGTAGTTTAAGACTTTGAGAGAGTAGTCTTAATAAGGTTTTCTTTTTCCTACTAAATTTTTGCTAAAAGAAATTTTGCAGTAGGTCAGAGCCAACAGGCTTTGGTTATCATTTTGAGTTCCTTTGTTCTCACGCTTTTCCCTAGCCATAATTAAGACAGTGGAGGGAAGTTGAGGTAGAGAATATGGTTGAGAAACTAAACAGTTAAGTCTGTCTGAGGCCTAACATTGACCATGCTCTTCTACAGACAGACAAGGTTGGGAAGGCTTTTAAGTACTTGGAGGCCGCCTTGTCCCTCATTGAGTGTGGGATTGCCACGGAGTCGGAAAGCTCGACGTCCAAGTCGGCTTACTCGGTGTACTCGGAAAGCGCGGACCTCATTAAGTAAGTGCCACGTCATTTTGCCATCTTGCTACGTGCTTCTCCTTCCTCGCCTTTTATTGTTCGAATCCACTCGAATTTAGTAGGAAGACAACTTAATAAAGGGGAGCCTTAAAAAAAAGTTACTGATCCAGAACCGTTTCTTGGGCCCGAAACGAAAATTGTATTCTAGATGATGTGATAAAACGGAGGGACCGGGTCCAGCTCCATCGTCCTGCCAAGTGCACTGTGAAATGCCAGACCGTTCAGGGAGAGCCTGGTTTTTCCAGTTTGGCTGTCTTGTCAGATGCACTGGTAGCTCCGTGTCCGCTCCCTTCTTGGTCTGTGTTTGGGCAGGGGACGCCGGGAGGACACGCGTCTACGTGGTTTCCAGCAGGTAACAGGCCAGAGAAGAGACATGTCCTTGTCTGCTTTGCTGAATGGCCTGAATTACTGCTCTAAAGCCTGGGGTTTTCTTCTGCGTGGTTTTCATGTCTTCACATCTTCAGGAAAATCAACATAAAACCAAGACAAACCTAATAAGATATCTTTGTGCCTGGGATTTTCTAACTGCCTTTGGTTAACCTGATGTATTTTTATATTTTCCTATAGATTTATAATGTCGTTAAAATCCTTTTCAGACGCCTCAACTCCACAAGAGAAAATATTTGCTGTTTTATGGTGTGTACTTTTATTTTTCCTTGTCTAAATAGTATTTGCTTTTGCATCTTTTGCTGTTATAAAAAAGATTTTGAAATTTGTTTTCTTAACATGGGAATTAATAATGAAAGGCAGAACAATAACAGAAAGTAGGATGCGTGGTCAAGAGGTTAATCCCGCTGATAGTTATTTTTTATGAAAGGCATCTACTGCCATTTTACTGTTGACTCAGTAGATGCTTTGGTCTCATGACTTAAATGATATTCTTGTGTATTTGTGTTTTTCCACCAATATTTACTTTGGTGGGAGGGACCAGAGGGAGAGGGAGAGAGAGAACCTTAAGCAGGCTCCACGCTCAGTGTCAGCTTGATCTCAGGACCCTGAAGTCATGACCTGAGCCGAAATCAAGAGTGGGATGCTCAACCAACTGAGCCACCCAGGAGCCCCTTTATGCCTTATCTACTTTTGATGATAATGTGAGCAGTATAGTAAGATTCTTAAGATGTTCTCCTCATGTAGATGAGGAAAACCCAGCGTGTTCCTTAGACTATAAAATGTTAATTAGATGGCTTTGTGTAGTAGTGATACTCGGTCTACGAAGTAATTCTTCACTTTAACTTCTGTTTATGTTCATAGCATGCGTTGCCAGTCCATTTTGAACATGGCGATGTTTCGTTGTAAAAAAGATACAGCAATAAAGTATTCTCGTGCTCTTAACGAACACTTCAGCAGTTTTTTCAAAGTTGCCCAGGCACCTTCTCCATGCATTGCAAGGTAATGAAAAGTCTAATTTAAATAATTCTTAAGATCAAGTTTATCTCTTTATTTAGCTCTTGCTTTTGCAACCATTTGTATGACTTTGGCTTTCTAAAAATTGTGTACATCTATGTGCTGATTTGCTCCTTAAATTATTAGCATATTTCTACCTTTTTGAGGAATAGGTATAAGTCAAGGTGTTTGCTGAGTAAGTAACATAAAAAGATAATTACAAAGAATATAGGGTCAAAATTTTAGAGCTTTGAGGATCTTCAGATACGCCTAACAACACAAAACAAAGGCAGAGCCAATCAGAGCCGAAGTCTTTTCTCCATCTACGTGACCTGTTGTCTTGGCATTTCAGTAAACAAGAACTTTCCAGAACCGAATGCCCTTATCTAGGATCCATGACAGTAATATTAAGAATGAAAACTATCTCTAGCTGACTCCTGCCTCCTTTGTGAACTGAAGGTGTTCATCTGTGCCATAAGACGTTGAAAAACAGAATTTTTGTGCAGGTGTTGTTAAGATGAAGTTAGAATTTTCTTCCCTGTAGTACTTACCTAGCATTTTGTTGTTTTTTTTTTTAAATTGGTTATACTCCTTGAAAAGTTCCCCGTTCTGATAAGTTTTGCTATTTTAAGAATATCACCTAGAAGATTGCCCCATTTCTAGCACCTTCAAGAGAAAAGAGTCCCATATGGCCTCTCTTAAAAAAAAAAAAAAGTCCTGATTGAGAAGTAACTTTTCGCCTCTGAAAATTTTCATGACTCTCACCTCAGATGTAAATTGTCAGCCACGTTATTTTAAATAACTCCTTCACCGTTTGTCCAGCCACTGTATAGCTAGCACCTTCTTTGTACCAAACCTGGTTTTTAGGTACAGGGGTAAAGCAGTATACAGAGCAGACAGGAATTTCTGCCCTCACGGAGCTGCCACTCTAGTCCTTCACAGTGTACATTCTGCGGGGGACACTTGGGGTCCCTGCAGCCCCCCAGGGGCAGATGGACCCAATCATGAGGCTCCTGCTGTTTGACCCATCTTTCCATTACTTTTTAGATCGAAGTGTTTTCCTCATGTTTCTCACTTGAGGCCCATCAGGCCCTTGTTAACTTGCATGTGCAGGTATGTAGCCAGAAGGAGAGTAGAGAGAAGACTGCATCCCCTGATGCGTAGTACCTCTTTCCCAGTCTCCTCGGAGGCTGTCCTGTATTCATCTAGTCATTGATTCAGTAGATACTTGGGAAGAGCCTACTCTCTGTGTTAAGTGCTAGAAATGCAAAGATTCATAAGAAATGGTCCCAGCCTTCAAGGAAGGAAAAGGAATAGACAGAAGAGTATAATGGGATGTGAGAAATGCGGTGGATAAATTCATAGGTAAATGCAAAGAGACCGGTTCAGGTGGTGGCCAAAGGGAGGCCATGCTGTCTCCCTGGGGTCCAGAAGAGGGCCAAGTGTGGAGTGGGTGCTCGGTCAATGTTTGACTGGTTGAGAGAATGAATATATAGGAGATTAGAACTGTCTTCCCAGGGAAGCACTGTTTTGGTGGAAGTTAGAACTGAGGGTGGGGGAGGAAGGGATTTCAGGCCGAGGGAGTAGACTGTGTAAATGGAGCAAGCACATTCGGAATGTAGATGTGCCCACCTGATTCTGGGTCCAGCGAAGGACGCCCTGCGTCCGTCCAGCTACTTACTTTCTCTGTTTGGTGGCCCCATTTTGTTGTGTGCCATTAAGTAAATTCCCCAAATCCTGAAGGTGAAGGGTGTCTCTGATCTTATAGAAGTGATTTTCATCTTGGCTAGTAGTGCACCCCGAACTTTGTAACTTGGACTGCAGTCCCAGAGACAAGAAGTCCGTGATCTGCGGGGTTAAGGTGATGAACCGGTTCTCTTCTTTGTCCCGCCTCCCAGAAGCACAGGCACACCGTCCCCTGTCTCTCCGATGCCTTCTCCTGCCAGCTCCGTCGGCTCCCAGTCAAGTGCTAGCAGCGGAGGGAGCAGCGGCATGCCTGTCACCATCCAAAACATGACGTCGTCTTATGTCACCATTACATCCCATGTCCTTACCGCCTTCGATCTTTGGGAGCAGGCTGAGGTCCTGACGAGGAAGAATAAAGGTAAAAGGCTCTGTGGTGGTAATTCCCGGGGCGTGGGGATCTGGAGGGAGTGCCATTGTTGGTTTGTATTTTATGTTCAGTGTTCTGAAGACAAGGGAGCGTGGAGCTATTTGCTGTCCTCCCTCCGCCTCCCAACCCAGCCGCAGTTCTTGCTTGAGCCCTGTGGCACGGAGCCAGGCTTCCGTGACCAGATCTCCGCAAAATTGAAGTAGAAGTGGTTGCGGCGCCTTGCCCTCCAGACGTTCTGGCATCATCGTTTCAGCCCGAGCTGAAGTGCCAGCGACAGGGCAAGGCTCGTGAAGACGGGAGGGGACCGGCTGTCTGCGCACAACCCCTGTGTACGAGGGTAGTGTGACCTAAATAGCGGGTCGCACGCTTGTTTTCAGTATCTGTTGAGAAAGACGGTCAGCAGCAGTCCAAGAAGCGTGGCATAGCAGACCGTCCTGAGGCTTCTTTGAGAGGAAGAAACCCGGGAGAGAGCCGAGGCCTAGGCGGTGGTGGAGCGCGGGCCGTTAGAGGGACTGCCCGTGGGCGCCCAGCGAGCGCTGAGTGGAAGCGGCCCTGCCCTGGCCCCGGATGCCGCTCCGGATTCTCTCCCGGCTCTAGGGATGGCAGTGGCCAGCTAGCTGTAGCCACTTACTTTTCTCGTAGCCTCTTAGAATTTTACTTTCTTTCTTAGCGAACTAATGATGCTTTTCACCTGTTGGGGGTGTTTTGTTTCGTTTTGTTTTGATTCAGCCCCCCACCAGCCCGGTAGTACAGGCTGGGTAGCTTCCAGCACGTGCCCTGGGCCAGGCGTGATGGAGTCAGCTTGGGAACTGGCTCAGGGCGCAGCCTGGCGCCCAGTGGAGGGATGTGGAGAACTAGCGAGCCATTAACGGTAGTAGATGGCGGTTTTTGGCTGTGATGAAGTCCAGAATATTGTGGGGATACGGTTGCTGGAACTTTGACTTTTTATGTTTCCGTTTTTATTTTTGTGTGTGCAAATGTGTTCACTTGGTTTTGGTTTTGCTTTGTTTGCAGAATTTTTTGCTCAGCTCAGCACGAGTGTGTGCGCCTTGGCCCTCAACAGCAGTTTGATGGATCTGGTGCACTATACAAGACAGGGTTTTCAGCGGCTAAAACAAGCAACCAAAACACCTTAACGGAGGCCCAAGTTGATTTGATGGCTTGGGAACTTTTTTGCACATTGAAAGCCTCAAACACAGTTCAGACCTTTGTCTCATCAAGACACCAAACTCGAGAAGAGAAGCACCATGAGATGGCCAGGACATTTGTCCGCTTAAGCTTGCAAGACCTTATGTGATCGTTGGTTGGACATGGTGGCTATACAGAAGCAGAGAGGAGGAGGCTGGCCTCAGAGATGATCTTGCCTTTCCTAACTGAAGGACAGAAGTGCAATGTAGACTAAGTGGGCGTATGAGTGGTCTAGAAACATTTCCGTACTTTTTTTAACCAGCAGGATGCAAATGGCAGATGAAATGAGGAGAAGCAGTTTCAGCTCTGAGAGCAAGTTCATGTCATCTCAGTAGCCACCCTAGTCTATTCCCAGAAGGAAATATTTTAAACAATGAATTTGGGTGTAGGGTTTTGTGGATGATTTTTTTTTCTTTTAAGTTTTGGGGGAAATCTTTGTTTAGTAAATTCTTAACGGTCATCTATAAAGCGTAAGTTGTGAAGGACTCCACCGTACCCCACTTTCTGCCCGTGAACAGTGACTTTGATAATACCAAGTATTGTCACAATTTATAAAATTGAAGGCAACTCCCCCACACCCCCCACGCCCCTGTTGCCTGGAGTACCGCGCGTTCACCCCACTTCTGATTTCTCCGTCACTGCTGAGAGTCAGCCTAAGTCCGAGCAGTGGAGGGAGGAGCTGCTGCCCACGGGGACGCCATCTTGAGATCGCATGCACGATGGAGGACTTGGCGGTGTCATCTCCACCCCCTGCTTCAGCGAAAGGCAGTCACCATTGACTATATTCTGAATTTTCTACCTTGGGGAAGAAGGGAACCAACATTTATACCCGACCAGATGGCTAAAGTGCTTTTTAATTTTTGTTTAAGTAGAGCTGGAATTTGAGGTGCTGATCTGTGGTCTACAGTTATGTGGTAACTCATGTTGTCTAACCAACTCAGAATTTTGTCAGCAAACAAAGAAAAATGAAATCTACTTCTTAGAGAGGCTATATTTTTCTGCTACAGATTATTTTATATTTATAGCAAAAGTAGACTTTCTGAGCCCTTGATTGTCTAGGGTAAGTCAACTCCCTAAGAGGATGTGGAGATTTGGGTGGTTAATTAGACTTAAAAAAAAAAAAAAAAAAAAAAAGTCACCACATGCCTTCACTCCAAAGTGTTCTCAGTCAACTAGATTTGATTGGATTGAAGAACCGTGGCCTTCCCATATGTTGTTATTGCCATATTCTAGACGTTAAACCAAGTTCATAGGGAATGACCTAAAATGAAAGAACACAGTCAAAATTCCCACGTAACCATAAGCACAGATTTTTTTTTTATTGAAACTTTGAAGGCTATTGGAAACATTATTTTGAGTGCAGTGTTTTTAAAAGCCAATTCTTGATATCCCTTTTAGAAGTAGAATTTGCACATGTATTAAAATTGAGGAGTGAGTGTTATCGCTACCATTGGTCCATTTTTTTCTCTCCCTTTATCCCATTCTGCCCCTCTACATTTTGTTTCCTACCCAGAACATTTGTCATTTTCATATTATTAATGAAGAAGGGAGTGCCATCTTTATAAGGAAGAGGTCGAAGGTCCATACAAGGAATGTAAGAACTCGGTGATCTGGTCAATACGTAAAGGGATGTGTAGAGGATGGGAGTGATGATGATTTCTCACGTATGAATTGTTCGTGTGAAGCTGTTCCTTCAGTGTCTCAGCCAGCCTGTTCTTTGTTATCAGTAGCTAGTTCAGAGGTTTGTTACCTCATGTTTAGGTTAAAGCCAGAGAGTTACAGCAGTACTAATATCTGAGCATGAGGACTGGATGTGTGGTCTTGATGGACCGATTTCATTCGCTGATGTTCTAAAGCAAGGCCATTTAACAAAACCTTTTGTTAAATGAGCAGTAATTGTCTGTTGGGTTGTGGCATCATGCCCATCTCTTGTATGTGTGAAACAAGACACCAGATTCAGGTTTCTGTGATTATTTAATGTCCTTTTCCCGCTTATTCACTTGGCCTTCTCTGCCCCTTTGCCCCACCATTCCCCAGTACAAGTCACCTGTCAGTTTGGGAAGCTGTGTCTTTTTCGGACAGGTTCTGATCTATGCAGATGTGTTGGAGTGTGTGTGTGTGTGTGTTCTGTCAGTGAGCGACACTGCTCCTGTGACTGAAGACATCTCGGCGTCAATTGCTCAGCCACTTCTAAAAAAA